TTCGACTAATATTCATTTTTTTATTCACAATCTCCTCATCACAGGCAGGCACAGCACTCAATTCAGCATGTGTTCATGTTTGTATGTGCTGTCTGCCTCACTCAGAGCACGTGCCTATATCGTGCACTATATCGAAATTGTTTTTATATCGTTATCGAAGAAGGAGTACCGTCGATAAATATCGATACCGTTTTATCGCCCAGGCCTACTGAAGACTGAAGTAACTGCTGCTGAAAATTCAGCTTTACCATCAAAAAATAAATAAATTTTTTAATATAGTCAAATAGAAACAATTATTTTAAATTGTAATATTTCAAAAAATATTATTGTTTACGGTGTTTTTGACCAAATAAATGCAGCACTGCTGAGTAAAAGAGACCTGATTTTTTCACCCTTACAATGCAAGTCAAAGGGAACCAGTTCTGTTTTGGACTCCACTGACTTTCATTGCATGGATATATCTTTGGTGCTGCAACCTTTCATCTAGACTTTATTGTGCTTGATAATAAATCAACATTTTATATCTGACGTGAATTTTATGGCGTAAGCAACGTTTGGAACTGACAGTGAAAGCAGTGCCAAGCTTTGTGAGAGTGCCACTGTCAGACATCAGCAAAGTCCAAACAAACACGCCGTGATCCTGTAGCAGGAAGAAGGACCAGGAGCAGAAGCGAATGTTTGCTTTGACTTCAGAGATGGCATATATTTCTTCAGGACTGAATGTCAAAATAAACTTTTCAGCACCAAGATGTATGTTTAGTCTCTAATCTGGGCATTTGGTGGACCTGCTCAAGGTGGGTGAACGAATGAAAAACTGAGCTGAGGATCAAGCTGATTGAAGTATTTACTCGCTAACCTGGCTTAAACATGTTCCTGCATGGAGGGGGGTCAAACAGAGATTTGTAACAGGACCCTGCCTGGAGGAAAGCGAAAGAGATACTTACCACAGATATGGAAAGAGGAAATTGCCAAGCAATGAAGATAAATGGGAGTTGTAAAGAGAAATCAATGATTGAGCTACTGATATCAGGTTGACTCGTGTCAGCAGATGTGAGTTGTCTACCTGTGCAGTGTCAGTTTGCAGTAGGGCTGTGCAAAAAAATCAAATGTGATTTTCATGCTCATCTCGTCCGTAAAGCTGGTTCTGTGATTAGTAGTAAATCTCCAGCACGTGCTTTCAGATGGAGCGGTAGATCACTGACAAGCTACACAAAATCGTGTTCAAAATCGTGAACAGGTTTCTCCCTGTTGTCATCAAGGTGTTTGTAAAGCAGTGCGGCCAACACTTCCCTGTAATTAAACTGAGTGCCTAGAGCAGTTCCCCCACCAACGCCCCCTTCTCAAACCAAACCGGTTGCCTGCCGTCTGGGAGGTCCTTCTAGTGCCGAAGCTTAAAATAACAATGGCCTGCTCACTCACCCCCTCTTGTGTTTGCTGATTGTTCTGTCACCCATGCGGTAATTCCACCAGGTCTGCCTCCTCCGTCAGTCTAATTACCTTCCTGCTGCTTCCTCCTCGAAAGAGCTTCCATGCAGAACGGTTCTTCATTAGCACTATAGTTTTGAGTTACATTTATTAACATAGCATGCCTGTTATTTCATGGACTGATTCATTGATTGGGGTCTGTGCACTTGCTACGTTTTCATTTTGTAGCGGCTATTGTGAACACAAATAAGATATGCTAGTAGGTAGTATTTGAACCACGTACTGTTACTTTTCCCAAAAAAAGTATTAATTTGTGATAAAGATTTGACAAAGGACAAAATAAATTAGGTGTAGCATTGTGAAAATACACTACCGTTCAAAAGTCAAATAAGTTTTTTAAAGGAAAAAGTAATATTGTGAAATATTATTAATATTTAAAATAAACATTTTCTATTATTATCAAAGTTGATGATAACATTTTCTATTATTATGTTGAAAATGTTATTATCAAAGTTGATGATAAAATTTTCTATTATTATGTTGAAAACAGTTTTTGCTGCTTGATATTTTTGTGGAAACCGTGATACATTTTTCTCTAAATTCTTTGAATAGAAACAATAGCATTTATTTGAAATAGAAACATATATAAGTTTGTAACATTTATAAATGTCTTTACTGTCAGTTTTCAGATCGAGATAATGCATCCTTGCTGAATTAAAGTATTAATCTTACAGACCCCAACTTTTGAATGGTAGTGTATAATATCTAGAATCACAAACATTCCTATCTGGTCAGGAATGAAAAATCTTAATAAAATAAGATACTTAAGATACTTTCAAATAAATTGAACAACAACAAAAACAACAACAACATTTATTTATAAAGCACATTTAAACACAATATAAATTGATGTAAAGTGCTGTACAGTGTACAAACAAATCTACTAATAAAAACAACAACTACACGCATACAAAGGCTAAAGAGTAAAAATAAGATTTAAGTCTAGACTTAAAAATGTCCAGAGAAGGTGCAGATCTCACATGATAGGGGAGACCATTCCAAAGCTTGGGGCCAACCACAGAAAAAGCCCGATCACCCTTTGATTTGTACCGACACCGTGGCACAGTTAGAAGCAAGTGACTCGAAGATCTAAGTGCCCTAGCAGGACAATAAAAAGTCTTGCCGCAGCATTTTGAACAGCTTGCAATCGTGAAAATGAAGATTGAGGAAGACCAGAGTAAAGAGAGTTACAATAATCCAATCGAGATGTAACAAGTGCACGAATCACAACTTCCATATCCTTCCTTGAAAGAAGATGCTTCAACCTTGCAATAGATCTCAAATGGAAAAAACTTGCTCTAATAACAGCACTAATTTGTTTATCAAAAAATAGATGAGTCAAAAATCACTCCAAGGTTTTTTATTTGTTTCCAAAGCAGGAGACGAGTGTTCAGGACAACCTAATATTAAAACCTCAGTTTTATCCTCATTTAACTGCAGGAAATTATTAGACATCCATGTCTTAATATCATGTACACATTTCAATAATACATCAAATGAAACAGCAGTATCAAGCCTTACTGGTAGATAAAACTGAGAATCATCCACGTAACAATGATATGAGATACTGTATTTTTGAAAAATGTGGGCCAAGGGGAGCATATAAAGGGAAAACAGTAAAGGTCCCAAAATGGATCCCTGGGGCACTCCATACAAGACAGGTGCAGAGGATGAGGAAAAATGTCCTAAATTTAAAATTTTTGTGAACTGTCCAATGGCATTTTAACTTGATAGACAAATCTAAAATGGATAAAGAAATGCAGTTTAAATGTTGCATTAAAAATATCAGTTTATTATTTGTTACATTTAACTACCTTTTGAAAATTGTTGTGCTGGAACCTTTTTTTTAGGATTATTGATAAAAAGATGAAAAGTTAGTTCAAAAGAACAGTTATTTGAACGTCTTCAAAAGTATACTTTTTTTTCTTAAAAAATCTTACTGACTACAAATGTTTTCATATTTATTTGTAAAGTATTTATAAAGTGCTTTATTTATATATTTTTTAACTAATACATTGATAATTAATGTCATTATTTTATTTTAAAATACCATTCCTAGTTCTCCACAGAAAAGCAGGAAATATGTTCTCAAATTTTTGCCAAGTTTGTACAAGAAAAACAGACACGTTTAATTTGGATTGGATAGCAATCACAAAGTTTGTCTGCAGAACTGAATTTACATCCTGAGGGAAAACTTTACAAATAAGATCATTGTCATTCAAATAGAATGTTAGTGGAGGTGAATGATTCTTGGCTGTCTATGTGCCACGGGCTCAGTTGAGACTGCTGCTCCATGAGTTTGGGGGTTGACGAACTCTGGAAACCAGATGGAAGATTCTAGAAAGAGAATGAGATGAGAGCTCCAGAGCAAACAAAGACAGCTTGGGCTTGTTTATTTTGATTGTCTGAGAAAACCTCCTGAAAGCTTGCTCCCTTCTGTTGGCTCAGTGCTCGAGACCTTACTGTGAAAAACAAGAGAGGAGGAGGAGGGAGTGAGGAGAATGTGTGTGTCTTCTTCTGGCAGAGTCATGGGGATGCCAGAGCAAGGAGAAACTGATGAATGGGTAGACAGGACTGCGGCCTTGCTCTCCTCTCTGGAGTTTCCCATAATGCCTTTACATGGAAGTCTTTATAGGCACAGGGGCACTGCCAGATATCTGGTCTGGTTGCTAACAGCAACTTAATGATGTACTGAAATATACAGTGTCTCACTGTTGTTCTGGGCTGGAACGCTATAAAATCTTCTAATGAGGGTCTGACTGTATACTTGAAGGTTGGCGGCTGACTTTCAAATGCTAAAAAGCAAGAATTTAGGAGCCAAAATGAATTAAAATTGATTGGCATTTGATGCCATACGAGTCTCCAACTCAACGAAGTCAGTATTTGTAGTTGTTATATAACATATACTAGCAGTCAAAAGATTTTAAAAAATGTTTTTGAAAAGTCTCTTTTGCTCACAAAGGCTGCATTTGTTTAGTAATAAAATACTGAATTATTGTGAAATATTATTACAGTTTTAAATAATTATTTTCTAATGGCAAAATTGAATTTTCAGCAGCCATTACTCCAGTCTATAACATTTCTTATTATTAACAATCAAAAGTGACAATTTTGATATTAATTATCAAAAGTGACAGTCGAGACTTAATTATATATTATAATTCTATAATTCATTGAACTTTGTTCATTAAAGAATCCTGAGGAAAAACACATGACAGTTTCCACAACAATATTAAGCAGCAAAAACTGTTTTCAAATCACAATTTACCGTTTTTACTATTATGTGACACTGAAGACTGTAGTAATGGCTGCTGAAAATTCAGCTTTGCTATCACCGGAATAAATTATATTTTAAAATGTTAATGGTAATTTTAGTACTGCTTTTACTGTATTTTTGATCAAATGAAAGCTTCTTTCAAAAACATTAAAAAAACTGTAATTACACACTTTTGACCGCTTGTGTGTTTCTTAAGGAGTGGCGCAATTAATGGATGACTGCATGTTTTTCTTCTCAGGATGTGAAGATCTTCCGGGCGCTGATCCTGGGGGAACTGGAGAGAGGGCAGAGCCAGTACCAGGCGCTCTGCTTCATTACACGGCTCAACCACAATGAGATCATCCCCAGCGAGTCCATGGCCAGACTCCGACAGGTCAGTCCATTGCTCCCAGGCTCCCTCGGTGGCTGATGACAGGGCAGGGAGAAGTCAATGGGGTGAAAACAAGCATGGGTGAAAACAAGCAGATGCTGGGTGTTAGAGTTGAGCTCATGAGCGTAGGAGTGTGATGTTTTAAATGGGAGATCTCAGAGGAACGAGGCTGTAAAAGGCCTTTGATGAGTAGTTCCTGGAAGGGCGGCCAAGGTCTTAGATGTGTGATTATGAGTGAAAGGTGTGAGAAAAGACTGGAAACATCTAGCTTTAAAGAACAACAGGACTAATACTAAAATCTTCCTTTTTATTTTACAGAAAAATCCCCTGGCCATCCGCACAGCGGAAGAGAAGAGAAGCACGGAGATGCTGAGCATGGACGTAGCAGTCAATTTGACACGGACGTGGCAGCTGAGCACCCACATCCACAACATGTGCAACGTCGCCCTGGAGGCTGTGTACACGCGTGAGGCTGATGTCAGACACTGGCTGGACAGAGGCAAGCATGCTTACTGTGTCCCCTAATTACACCCTACCAAACCCAGCATGCTTAAATATATCGCTGACATAGTGCACTTCACATCTTAACCCTCTACAGTAGGGGTGTAACGATATTCAAACCGAACTGAAAAACCACGATACACCACCCACGGTACTACCGCGGTACTCTAAATAGCTTACCACGATACTCTCTTGGCCTACCCCGCCCCCTGCTGAGACACTTCAAATGCAGCCATTATGGCTTTGAATTGCTTGAATCACTTTGAAAGGGAAAGTACCATTTAAGAGCAACATGTGCAGAACAAATCTGTCATATAGGCTATATCTTCATGACTAGCACAGTTGCTTGTGCAGCCACTCTCAGCCTTTTGTGGAACTGTAAGTTGCAATATTTTGTTTATAGGTATATCGTGTATTTATTATTTATCTCATGTAAGATGCATTTGGTTGAGTTATGCTGCAGTAAAGCACTTCATTGTAGGCCTGCTACGGTGATTATCTCTTCAGCGCGCAGCATAAGCAACACAAACAACACTGCAGAATATTAATAACTATGACTGGGACTGTCATATACATAACATTATAATGAGAACACTATTATAATCAAACGCGGTGAATTTTTAGAGTGTAGTTGCCGTGTTTCGCTGCGGGATTTCAGGCATTGTCGCGATTATAAAGCTGGAGATTTATGCAGTATAGCATGTAGGTTGAATCCAAACAGATTATCAGAGCAGATCAGTCGTTTTAAAACTTTCTGTGAGATGGAATTTCACAAACAGTGTGAGTGATTGAGTGGTACTGTGTCTTCTCCCACTCTCTGAAAATACACAAATGGCTTCACATCCATAATATCCACGTTGAGTTTGCTCTGCAAGCGAGGTTTCGTGCGTGTTTCGGACAGTTGATGGAATTGTCACTTGCATGTAATTTTAAGTCATGCCAATTTAAACATTCAAGCTGTTTTAACCCATAAAGTACTCGCGCACTCTCTGAGAGAGTCTTTAATGCGCTCTCAGCCAAAGCGCGCACAGCCGCCTCTCAAACAGCTTGCAAATCTCAAGTGTCAGATTGAGTTATTACATATTTGATTAAAATAATTTCCTTATTGTCCAGCTATTCCATTTAATTTATCCACAGCACATGCATTTTTATATGTAGCCTAAGTAATGTTGTTCACTGACTTGTTTGCATTATTCAGGCGCTATTTTATTTTATTTTTTTAAGGCAATAGATTTTTTGGTAACACTTTACAAAGCAACAATTTTTCAAATCTCATTTGTTAATGCATCAATTGACAAGAACTAATAGAGAGCAATTATTGTTATTATTGTTATTATTATTAAGTTAAAAGTGAATTTGGTGTTCTTTAGCATTGCTGGTGGCAAGTCATGAACCCTACCCCCACAGCAAACCGAACCGAAGCTCCAAAACCGTGATATGAACCGTACCATGGCTGATGTATGAAATAATAGTCAGACAAATCTTATTTTTCCACTTGAACTCCACATTTAACCTTTCGACAAAATATGTAAAAAGTAAATTAATTATAATTTTAAAAAATGCATAAATGCAAATGTAGATCATGTATCATTTGACACATCAGGCTTTAATGGTGAATTAAAGATACCAACAAAAATGAAACATTTGATTAAATTCTGTATTTTTGTGAAGTTTTGTTGCCAAGAAAGGATGAAACCTATATATATATATATATATGTATGTGTGTGTGTGTGTTAAGTTTAGGTATTAGGTAGGATTAGGGATGTAGAATATGGTCATGCAGAATATGTGCTTTATAAGTGCTAATAAACCACCAATATGTTAATAATAGGCATGCTAATAAGCAACTAGTTAAAAGTGAGAATTGGTCCCTATACTAAAGTGGTACCAATATTTCATATAAAATATATAACATTTTTATAGTAAAAAGTAATGTGATTTTTAATAATGATAGAACAGACGATATTAATAATGATATTAATAACTATATTAAGGCTATATTTGTAAAATTTTAACATTTTTTATTTATTTTATGTTTTGATTGGGTTAAATACTAATAATAAATAATATAATAAGACTCTTTGCTTGAATTATCATGTTTAACTATCATTGTAGACATGGCGACAGTAAAACAATAAAAAAAGTTTGAGCCTTATCCCACTCTTTTCCACGTCAATTTAATGTAGTTAGACCCAGTACAGAAGCATCACAGTTTTAATTGGAACACATCTGCATTTGTAACGCCTCACTGTCCTACATAGATTGAAGCTTGATGATCGTTTACTAAAATGATTTTTCCGATTCTTCAGGCGTGGAGGGCTCCATGTTCGAACCTCAAGCAGTGGAGGTGCCAGGCCTGCAGAGCTGCGGGACAGTGAAGGACCTGTGGCAGCCTTGCTTGTGTAGTTACAACCTCAGATTGGAATGGTACCCCTGCCTGCTGAAGTACTGCCGCAACAGGGACGTCTCCGGCAGGGGCAGCCCATATAAATGCGGCATCAAGAGCTGCAGCAAAGGCTACCAGTTTACTTACTACGTACCCCACAAACAGCTGTGCCTATGGGAGGAAGAGACCTAGATCCACATATGCTTCTGCAAAAACATATTTAATGTGACCTTCTCCACAAATTTCATTCACCTCCAAGCCTTCAGACTCATGCCTTCTGCACAGAGCAGAAATGATGCTGGATGGGTGTGGATGGAGCGTCATTTGAGCAGCGCTAGTGCTCTAATTTTGTTTCTCCAGAGCAGTTGCTCACATCTTTAAGCTGGTCATTAGTTTTAAAACTCTTCTTACTCTTACCAGCACTGTGGAATGAGTATCTTTTGAGTCTTGAGACCCAGGTGAGTTTGGGACGAGCAACCTGTGAATTAGTCAGTATATAACAAGATGTAATCTTAAAATTAGCTGGATCCCGTCAGGTTGCCAATTTTCGTTTTTTCTTTTCTGAAACTGGTATTATTTATTTTGCAGTGGGAAATGATTGACGACACTTAAGCACAGTGCACATGTTCAGAGAAAATGCCTTTTGTTCTCTCTTATTTTTTTTGTTTTATTTTAAGTTCTATATTTTGACTGTTAGATTCAAAGCACTATATTAAGTTCATGGTGGACGTACGCATGCTTTGATTAATATTGGTACAGACATAAAAAGCTAGTAATTGAGTCATTCAACATTTAATTCAGACAGATTCAATCATGTGAATTATCTCACCTCAAGTCTTAATGCTGGGATTCTTTGGGAGCGTATGTGTTTTCATTTACATAAGGATGGACTATTCCATTGCACAACAGTATAATTTAAGGACCAGTTGGATCAATATTATTAACTCCTAGTTTGAAGTATGGACTCTCATTAGTTGGGAACAGGCAACACTGCAAAAGTGACATGAGGAAAACAAAGTAAGTGTATGTTCTGGTAAAATAGAGGGATAGAAATCATACAGAGAAAGGCATCAGGCTGAGGAAATCCTGCTTAGATTGTCACTACTGTGCATCCAACACTGCCATCTACTGGTTATGCAGCATTACTGTCACTCAGGCTCCTCCTATCAGTATGACCTCAGACCATCAGCAGAGCTGTGAAACCATCACAAATACGGATTGTGTGGTATCAAATGTCCTAGAAGAAATCACCTTCATTCAACAGAATATTAATAACTATGACTGGGACTGTCATATACATAACATTATAATGAGAACACTATTATAATCAAACGCGGTGAATTTTTAGAGTGTAGTTGCCGTGTTTCGCTGCGGGATTTCAGGCATTGTCGCGATTATAAAGCTGGAGATTTATGCAGTATAGCATGTAGGTTGAATCCAAACAGATTATCAGAGCAGATCAGTCGTTTTAAAACTTTCTGTGAGATGGAATTTCACAAACAGTGTGAGTGATTGAGTGGTACTGTGTCTTCTCCCACTCTCTGAAAATACACAAATGGCTTCACATCCATAATATCCACGTTGAGTTTGCTCTGCAAGCGAGGTTTCGTGCGTGTTTCGGACAGTTGATGGAATTGTCACTTGCATGTAATTTTAAGTCATGCCAATTTAAACATTCAAGCTGTTTTAACCCATAAAGTACTCGCGCACTCTCTGAGAGAGTCTTTAATGCGCTCTCAGCCAAAGCGCGCACAGCCGCCTCTCAAACAGCTTGCAAATCTCAAGTGTCAGATTGAGTTATTACATATTTGATTAAAATAATTTCCTTATTGTCCAGCTATTCCATTTAATTTATCCACAGCACATGCATTTTTATATGTAGCCTAAGTAATGTTGTTCACTGACTTGTTTGCATTATTCAGGCGCTATTTTATTTTATTTTTTTAAGGCAATAGATTTTTTGGTAACACTTTACAAAGCAACAATTTTTCAAATCTCATTTGTTAATGCATCAATTGACAAGAACTAATAGAGAGCAATTATTGTTATTATTGTTATTATTATTAAGTTAAAAGTGAATTTGGTGTTCTTTAGCATTGCTGGTGGCAAGTCATGAACCCTACCCCCACAGCAAACCGAACCGAAGCTCCAAAACCGTGATATGAACCGTACCATGGCTGATGTATGAAATAATAGTCAGACAAATCTTATTTTTCCACTTGAACTCCACATTTAACCTTTCAACAAAATATGTAAAAAGTAAATTAATTATAATTTTAAAAAATGCATAAATGCAAATGTAGATCATGTATCATTTGACACATCAGGCTTTAATGGTGAATTAAAGATACCAACAAAAATGAAACATTTGATTAAATTCTGTATTTTTGTGAAGTTTTGTTGCCAAGAAAGGATGAAACCTATATATATATATATATATGTATGTGTGTGTGTGTGTTAAGTTTAGGTATTAGGTAGGATTAGGGATGTAGAATATGGTCATGCAGAATATGTGCTTTATAAGTGCTAATAAACCACCAATATGTTAATAATAGGCATGCTAATAAGCAACTAGTTAAAAGTGAGAATTGGTCCCTATACTAAAGTGGTACCAATATTTCATATAAAATATATAACATTTTTATAGTAAAAAGTAATGTGATTTTTAATAATGATAGAACAGACGATATTAATAATGATATTAATAACTATATTAAGGCTATATTTGTAAAATTTTAACATTTTTTATTTATTTTATGTTTTGATTGGGTTAAATACTAATAATAAATAATATAATAAGACTCTTTGCTTGAATTATCATGTTTAACTATCATTGTAGACATGGCGACAGTAAAACAATAAAAAAAGTTTGAGCCTTATCCCACTCTTTTCCACGTCAATTTAATGTAGTTAGACCCAGTACAGAAGCATCACAGTTTTAATTGGAACACATCTGCATTTGTAACGCCTCACTGTCCTACATAGATTGAAGCTTGATGATCGTTTACTAAAATGATTTTTCCGATTCTTCAGGCGTGGAGGGCTCCATGTTCGAACCTCAAGCAGTGGAGGTGCCAGGCCTGCAGAGCTGCGGGACAGTGAAGGACCTGTGGCAGCCTTGCTTGTGTAGTTACAACCTCAGATTGGAATGGTACCCCTGCCTGCTGAAGTACTGCCGCAACAGGGACGTCTCCGGCAGGGGCAGCCCATATAAATGCGGCATCAAGAGCTGCAGCAAAGGCTACCAGTTTACTTACTACGTACCCCACAAACAGCTGTGCCTATGGGAGGAAGAGACCTAGATCCACATATGCTTCTGCAAAAACATATTTAATGTGACCTTCTCCACAAATTTCATTCACCTCCAAGCCTTCAGACTCATGCCTTCTGCACAGAGCAGAAATGATGCTGGATGGGTGTGGATGGAGCGTCATTTGAGCAGCGCTAGTGCTCTAATTTTGTTTCTCCAGAGCAGTTGCTCACATCTTTAAGCTGGTCATTAGTTTTAAAACTCTTCTTACTCTTACCAGCACTGTGGAATGAGTATCTTTTGAGTCTTGAGACCCAGGTGAGTTTGGGACGAGCAACCTGTGAATTAGTCAGTATATAACAAGATGTAATCTTAAAATTAGCTGGATCCCGTCAGGTTGCCAATTTTCGTTTTTTCTTTTCTGAAACTGGTATTATTTATTTTGCAGTGGGAAATGATTGACGACACTTAAGCACAGTGCACATGTTCAGAGAAAATGCCTTTTGTTCTCTCTTATTTTTTTTGTTTTATTTTAAGTTCTATATTTTGACTGTTAGATTCAAAGCACTATATTAAGTTCATGGTGGACGTACGCATGCTTTGATTAATATTGGTACAGACATAAAAAGCTAGTAATTGAGTCATTCAACATTTAATTCAGACAGATTCAATCATGTGAATTATCTCACCTCAAGTCTTAATGCTGGGATTCTTTGGGAGCGTATGTGTTTTCATTTACATAAGGATGGACTATTCCATTGCACAACAGTATAATTTAAGGACCAGTTGGATCAATATTATTAACTCCTAGTTTGAAGTATGGACTCTCATTAGTTGGGAACAGGCAACACTGCAAAAGTGACATGAGGAAAACAAAGTAAGTGTATGTTCTGGTAAAATAGAGGGATAGAAATCATACAGAGAAAGGCATCAGGCTGAGGAAATCCTGCTTAGATTGTCACTACTGTGCATCCAACACTGCCATCTACTGGTTATGCAGCATTACTGTCACTCAGGCTCCTCCTATCAGTATGACCTCAGACCATCAGCAGAGCTGTGAAACCATCACAAATACGGATTGTGTGGTATCAAATGTCCTAGAAGAAATCACCTTCATTCAACAGGACCAAATCCACAGACTGAGCACTATCATGAAGAAGAGAAACTGTATTATTGTTCCACATTTCACTACATTCACCTTCAACTCACGACTCGCCTCTCTTACTATGCGAATGTTCACGTTTAACAAGCCACAGTTGACTCGATTGTAGTTCATGGTACTAAAATGTTTATGCTGATTTATTTAATTAAATTTTTTTTTATTTTTTTTTTAAGTGTTTTAAGTGTTATGTTGAAAGTGTTGTTTGAGATTACACCTCCCCAATCAACAGCCATTGTCTGGGATACAAGTGCCTTGGTGATACAGTGTTTACTGATTCTTTTTAAGGATAATGCTGTTAAGAATAAAGTATCAAAGCTATTTTCCTATGAAAATGAATATGAGCATAATATGAAGTAATTTTAAATAAAAGCTCCTTCAGCAAAGTGTCTTTTATAAAAGTCTCTTTTTTTTACTGTTAGAAAAGCAAAATTGTTTTTAAATGTGAGTGCAGAGCTGCAACATTCTGTTTTGGTGTATAACCACCTATGTTTAACACTTAAAAACTTTAAGCATTATATCATGTTTTTAAATATTATTGTTATACACTAATTGGAGATGCTTCTTGAGCAAATCAGTAGGCTATATTAGAATGATTTTTGAAGGATCATGTGACACTGAAGACTGGAGTAATGATGCTAAAAATTCAGCTTTGCCATC